CAACACTGTTCTAGGGTAGAACAATCAGGATGCATTTAAGGTCAGTTTTGGGGTAGAACAATCATAATGTGTTTAAGCTTATGACTGTTTTAAATGGTTCCATGATAGAACTGCATCTGTAAGAAACTGCTCTCAACTTGTCAAAAGAAAGCATGGAGAGACTGTTATTGATGTTATTGATCATTTCTCCTGACATTTCCTTACATATTACAATAGAGGTTAGATCTTATTCCAACTGTACAATCTTCAACAAAAGACAGACGTCTATAAAATATGTTAAGCTCTATATACTGTCTTACTATGACCAATTGTTGCGATAGTTTCTTTTCTATTCAATTGCCCACTGATTTATGAATGATGTGTTTAAACTACCGAACTTGAGGTTTAATGTATCGATTTAAGAAATTCAGTGGGACGTGCTTAATTTGCATTACTTTATGTTTCCTATTTTTCTTTCTTTTTTTTTAAACGAATAGAAATGTTTTACATACCGAGTTTGTAAATTCATTTGCAGCACCACGGGTGCCACATGTGAAGCAGGATCTACTTACCCTTCTGGAGCATCTGTGAATACCCCCGATTTTGTATGGGGTTTGTGTTGCTCAGTCTTTTAATAGTTTTCTATGTTTTGTATTGTATACTGTTGTTTGTCTTTTGGTCGTTTTTCGTTTTTATACGCCCATTTACGGGACGTATTTTGATTTACCCTTGTCCGTCTGTCAGTCCCGTCGATCCGTCTGTCCGTCGTCAACATGTCGGACAATAACTCAAAAATGCTTGAACCAAATTTTATGAAACTTTGGTGAATTGTTTATATTTATTGACGTAAGCTCTCTTTCGATTTTTATAAATTTTAGATTTTACATTTCTGAGTTATGGGATTTTATTCACAAAAAGGGGGGATTTTCTAATTTTCAGACATGCACTAACACAAAAATGCTTTCAGCAGTTTTCGTGAAACTTTGGTAACTGTTTTTTTTTTGTTTTTTTTTTTAAATTTCGGATATGACATCGAGGAGTTATGGAACTTTATTCATTGAAAAAGCGACGGACGTATCATGCGCTCATGGCGCAGCTCTTTATTTGCCAAGTCATTGTCAGTTTGTTTTCGACTTATGAATTTGATTTTCCCGTAAGGTACTTTTCGCTTCTCTTTATCAAATGTAATACAGGTAGGAACTTCGGTAAACAGTCTGTAACAATCTAGAAAAACGACAATTGTCAATTTGTTGGTGTATTGTCTGTATTCAGTTTTTTTTCAATGATTTTTGACTTACAATTTATTAAACAATATCTCAAAGTTTAGTTAATTTGTATGACTAACTTTTTACTACACCCCTCTCTCTATAAATAATTAAATAGTTTCCTTTTCAGATGTAAGTATGAAATGGGCGTGTTGATGACCGTACTTTGACCTATAATGGTTTACTTTTATAAATTGTGACTTGGATGGAGTGTTGTCTTATTGGCACTCATACCACATCTTCTTATATCTATTAGCTACAAGATATATATAAAAAAAATAGGATATGATTTTTTTTTGTCAATCATTAATAAAAGTGAAATAGTGAAATAATCATTCGCTTTTAGCGGCCAATTTGGTTAAACTTTGTCAAAATAAGATAAGAAACATCGCTGATGAATTATTCCTTTGGAAGTGAATAATTCGACCTCATTGAATCCGTATTCATGTGACCTTCAATTTAACCCCTTAGCTGGACATGGGTTACGCATGTATTCAGCTATTAAAAGGAAAAGAATGTCAATATTGAAAATGAAACAAGGATGAACCATTTGGTTGACTGACTGGATCCACAAAAAAAAATCATTCTCATGCAGGTAAACACGACGATAAGCATACTTTTTAACCTACAATATGAAATCAAACAGACTTAGCAAAATCCAATTGCACGTGGTCAGTATCTGTTTATATTTATATTTATGTTTATATCGGGTTATATGACCGTCGGCAGTCTTCGGAAATCATCTCGATGGTAAATTAGATGGCGTCTAGACAAAAATACACACGAAAGATTCATATATATTATCGAGTCCATGCATTGTTAATTGTTTATTTTAGACTTTTTGTAATTTGGATATATGTTTTAGTATGTTATAAATCAAATATGTGAATTTTAGTCAAATCGGTTAACATGAATTTGACAGCTATTGCCCATATAAAGCTTTTTATTAGCACTTAAACACTATTGCAAGTTATACTGACATACACAATTTGAATCCTGAATGCTTAATATCCGTAAGAATTCATGTTGCAATAGACAAATTACCATATATCATTGCTTTTCTTTCGTATGTAATCGAAAATAAATTGCAAAAATAATGCAAGAAAGGAATAATTCTGAATATTTATATCAATTCAGCAAATATGACCTATATGTTAGTCTAAGTAAATAACACGATAACTTTCATTATTGTTAATTACACTGTTTAGATGTATGTTTTATTTCTTTTCGTATTTAAAGTAGTTATTCTGGATCTCTATCATCATTACAGACTGAGTTTTTAAAAAAATGTATATCATTGTAACAGACCTTTGGGTATTTTTATCTTTGTGTTGCTGTTACATTGACGTTTTCTGTCTTCCTGTATTAACTACCGTCTCGGTGGTATCGTGGTAGCGTGTTCGCCTCGAGTGCGGGAGGTCGTGGGTTCGTGCCCCGGCCGGGTCAAACCAAAGACTTTAAAATTGGTATTTGCTGCTTCTCCGCTAAGCACGCGGTATAAAGGAGTAAGAGCAAAGACTGGTCGGCTCGGAGTCAGAATAATGTGTTCGGGTAAGGTGACATGTCTTCCTGCGGACTGTTACCTTGTGAAATAGCACGTTAAAAAATCCGGCCCAGCTGGTTGGTCTAGTACTAAGCAGGTTAAATAATGGAATGACTATCGCGATCTACAAAAATGCTAGTGCAATTGATGATGATGGATATCTGATTAACGTGCAGCGGCAAGATAAATGCATATTAAGGACGAGAACATGTAAATATGTATTATGAATTTTTTAACCCTGCTTAGAAGTAGGCCGAGCCGGATTTTAACATGCTAGCTCATAAGGTAACAGCGTGCAGGAAGATATATTATCCTACTCGGACACACTATTCTGACTATAGGATACCCAGTCTTCCTAACGGGAGGGATTGTGCTTGATTTTCATATGATGAAGACATTATCTTTCAATCAGTTTAATTGAGGTCTGGAGCTGGCATGTCAGTAACTGCTAGTAGTCCTTTGTTAATTTATGTATCATTGTCATTTTGCTTAGTTTCTTTTGTTACCTATTCTGACATCGGACTCGGACTTGTTTTAAACTGAGTTTTACTGTGCGTATTGCTGTTTGTTTGTACATTGTACCTGTCCCAAGTCATGAGCCTCTGGCCTTTGTTAGTCTCGTATGTTTTTTAATTTTATGTTTTGAAGTTTAGTGTGACGTCCATTTTCATTGAACTAATACACATTTTTGTTTAGGGGCCAGCTGAAGCCCGCATCCGGGTGCGGGATATTTTCGCTGTGTAGAAGACCCATTGGTGGCCTTCGGCTGTTTTTAACTCTTTGGTCGGGTTGTTGTCACTTTGACACATTCCACATTTCCATTCTCGTTTCGCCTTTACTACTAAACGACGCAAGCTTAGCGTAGAAGAAGCAAATACCTATTTTTAAGGCATTGGTTTAAAACGGCCGGGGATCGAACCCACGACATTCTGCACTCTAGGTAAGCACGCTATCATGAGACAACCGATGCCGTTCTAGTGGAATTGAACCCATCAATTAATTTTTCATATAAATTATTGCACTTGAATTTCTATTTTGACCATTTTTACCTTTATTATCTTAAAAACTGTAACAGATAGAAATTTAAAGAAAATGTTTACAAAGGCGGTCATTAATACAATATCTACAAAATTGACAATATAACCAAAGCCGTCGGCGTTATTGATAATTTGTTTTTATCAATTTTAGTGTTTGGCTATGATAAGATGTAGCTAGACAACTTTTATAGATGGACAGAAACAAAAAGCAGCTTAAATTATCACCAATATTAATTATCTACAAAACTAACCAATTGGACTGAAACCATCAATTGATTCCTTTTGGTGATAATGCCCTTAGATGACGAACTTTGACATTTTAAAAAAACTATAATAGACAGTCAGAAAATGTAATAATCGCAAAAACATGCCATACAAAAAGTCACGTGACTAAACTGTCAATTGACTGTTTATTTGTGTTATTGCACTTTAATGATGATTTTATGAATGTTTTATTTTTTTAAAACAATAATGGATACAGAAAAACTGTAGTCAGCAAAATTGATGAAAATCGAATTGAGATCTACCAAACAATTCAGAGGTTCATATTACTAAATTGAATGTTTTTGGAGCGCCGTTCGACATAGAAAGGGACAATGGAAGGTTTTGAAAATTTTTCTTTTCTCATAATTTCTGTGTAAAAATCCTTGTTCTGAATACAAAAATAAAAGATAACGGTTTTAATTTCAATTGAGTGCACTCGACACGATGTATATGTTTGAAATGAACAAATTGAATGCCAAATATAAGTCAATTCTACATCCGAATCTTTATTTTTCTTTCAGTTTTTACTACTTTTTGAGACGGATACCATTAAATTATTTTTATTTGGTTCTGTTCATCCTATTTTACACTTAAGGTGGTACCCAACACCTTCACTAAAATTAATTTGGCTCGTTTAATTTTCATAAAATTTTGACAAAGTATTTACTTTGACCCTTTGACAAAAATATAAAAATTTCAAAAAATTTGAACCAACCAATTTATCAGAAAAATTAGACTGGTTATATAGCAGTTTGACAAACACTAACTTTGATCATTGAGAAGCTTAATATTCCCTTAACAACACAACGTAATTAAAACGTTTAGCTGATTTTACTCCCTTTTACTTGAGTTATCTCCCTGTAGTGTTAGGTACCACCTTAAAGGAAAAATTCAAAATTGTATTTTACTTACCTTGATTCTATTGGTATCTATTTGAAAGCAGATTTTCTACATTTGTATCTATAAAAATCTTCTGTTTACATTGTTGAAAATCTTACGTTGTGTAATAATTTAAGGAAGAACAGTTGTATTTGAAAGTTACCCCATATAATTCAATTGCATGTACATTGTAAGATGAAATGAATACGTGGAAAAATACTAATTGATAAAATTGACATTAACATCAAAAGTAGATTGCATGCTATGTTGTACTCAGACTTGGATCACGCAATTTGGTTTGAATAAACTTCACGCTGTTGTATAATATATAACATATTAAATCCCAACTTTTAGAACCATGTGTAGGGTTGTATTTCGTAAAAGATAATTTGTTAGTAGTATTATTATGATGCATTTGTTTATTACTTTACATAGTAAAATGAGAATCAGCAATTACCTAATAAATTTGAACGCTACGATCAATATCACGAATCGGTCATGTGTTACGTACATTATTATAGTGTGCTCCGTTAGACATTATAGTGGATACCTATAGTGGGCCCCCGCTAGTCATTATAGCGGATACCTAAAGTGTGCCCCGCTAGCCATTATAGAGGATACATATAGTGTGCCCAGCTAGCCATTATAGTGGATACCTATAATGTGCCCCATTGGTCATTATTGAGGATATCTATAGTGTGCCCTGTTAGAGATTATAGATGATACCTATAGTGTACCCCGTTAGTCATTATAGTAGATACCTATAGTGTACACCGTTAGTCATTATAGTGGATACCTATAGTGTGTCCCGTTAGTCATTATAGTGGATACCTATAGTGTGTCCCGTTCGTCATTATAGTGGATACCTATAGTGTACCCCGTTAGTCATTATAGTGGATACCTAGTGTACCCCGTTAGTCATTATAGTGGATACCTATAGTGTGTCCCGTTAGTCATTATAGTGGATACCTATAGTGTGCTCCGTTATAGATTATAGTGAATGTCTATATATAGTGTACCACGTTAGTCATTATAGGGGATACATATAGTGTGCCCCGTTTGTCATTATAGTGGATACCTATAGTGGGCCCCGCTAGCCGTTATAGTGGATACCTACAGTGTGCCCCGTTAGTCATTATAGTGGATACATATAGTGTGCTCCGTTAGAGATTATACTGGATACCTATAGTGGGCCCCCGCTAGCCATTATAGCGGATACCTAAAGTGTGCCCCGCTAGCCATTATAGAGGACACCTATAGTGTGCCCAGCTAGCCATTATAGTGGATACCTATAATGTGCCCCGTTTGTCATTATTGAGGATACCTATAGTGTGCCATGTTAGAGATTATAGATGATACCTATAGTGTACCCCGTTAGTCATTATAGTGGATACCTATAGTGTGTCCCGTTAGTCATTATAGTGGATACCTATAGTGTACCCCGTTAGTCATTATAGTGGATACCTATAGTGTACCCCGTTAGTCATTATAGTGGATACCTATAGTGTGTCCCGTTAGTCATTATAGTGGATACCTATAGTGTGTCCCGTTAGTCATTAAAGTGGATACCTATAGTGTATCCCGTTAGTCAATATAGTGGATACCTATAGTGTACCCCGTTAGTCATTATAGTGGATACCTATAGTGTGTCCCGTTAGTCATTATAGTGGATACCTATAGTGTGTCCCGTTAGTCATTATAGTGGATACCTATAGTGTACCCCGTTAGTCATTATAGTGGATACCTATAGTGTACCCCGTAAGTCATTATAGTGGATACCTATAGTGTGCTCCGTTATAGATTATAGTGGATGTCTATATATAGTGTACCCCGTTAGTCATTATGATGGATACATATAGTGTGCCCCGTTAGTCATTATAGTGGATACCAATAGTGTGCCCCCCGCTAGACATTATAGTGGATTCCTTTCGTTCGTCTCCCAAAGGGTGACTAGGGTATACAAATATGGTCTTCTAACCGTCAGTACAAAAGTGGGGCATCTGTTTGACTTTGCAGCATGTTTAAATACTCAGCCATGTCCGGTAGGAATAAGGACGTTAAAGAATCCTTGCAACAACTTTTTGAGGGTCCTTTGGTGACCAGTTGCAAGACTAAATATCTGTAGCTATTAAACACATCCTCATTTAATTTTCAACGGCTGTTCAAATTCGCCACCCTACATCCCGGTCGACCTACTTGCAAAAACTAGCTATTGTATTAATTGTAAAAAGTTTCTCAATATGAATATGTATGAAATAATTGATACTGGATATTTAGCAAGCAACAATAAATTATCACTCAATTTCGACCCCGCGAGCCTTTATAGTGGAAACCTATAGCGTACCCCGTTAGGCGTTGTAGTGGATACCTATAAACTACAGTGAGTCCTGCTAACCATAGTAGTGGAAACTTAAGTTTGTCTACAACCAGGCTGACTACAAATATGGTCCATTTCCTCTGGACTTCTTCCAACCGGCAGTATAAACCTTACCAAATTGGGAAATTCGTTTGGTTATGCAGGATGTATAAAGACGTAGCCACGGCGGCATTGGGACGTTAAAGAATACTTGCAAATACTCTTTGAACTTCGAAGGTCCGTTGGCGACCATTTGCAAGCTTACATTTTTTCAACTGTCTAGCATACTCTCATTCCTATGGTCCAAATTTCCTGCACTTTATCCCCTTCTGCCTACTTGCAGAAACTACCTATAGTGTAAATTATAAATACTAGTAGGTTCTCAATCTGAATATGCTTGAAATAATTGGCACTGGACGTTAAGCAAGCACCAATAAATTATCAATATAGTGTAGTTCGCCCATGCTAGCAATTAAACTGGAAACATATAGTTCGGCTCCCGCTAACCGACTTGTTTTTGTACTCATTTGAGACAGACATTTTGCCAAAAAGATACAAGATGGATAGATGTATTATTGACAACTATCTAATATGAGGGGCCTGATGGATTATTTTCGTTCTTCGTGATCGGCGCATTTTCGCTATCGTGATCCGTTTTTCTACAGATTTTTTTTTTTTTATATTTTCGTGATGCGTGATCATGGAAATTTATTTTCTGTGAATCGTGATTGACAAAAAAATCAACTCGTGAATCGGGATGTATGAAAACAACTTTAAGAATTTCATTGTTTTAAATTGTTTTTGAAAATAATAAGGTTACTTATTTTCTAGATATCGTAGTACAAAACACTCAGATAAGAGAATTTAAAAAGCAGGAAACACAGAAACAAATATCCATTCTTATAACGAAGTATCCATATATCTTTTAATAACAACAAATGAAAACTTATGGCGAGTAAATACCAACTGAAAAAGAATAAAAAAATTCTGAGGAACAAGAAAATATTTAGAAGTTTCTTATCAAAAAGAATTCGTTGTCTATTAGAATCAAATAATCATTTAAATAATTGGAAAACATTAGCATATTAGTATGGAATATATTAAAATTGATAGAAGACTAACTCTTCAATACAAGTCCACAAGCAAAGAAATAACAAACATTCTGTCTCCAAATTATGGTTGAGCAATTCATTTAAATGTTTCATTAATTTGGTATATCTAATTAACACATCCTTATCAAATGGTAAAACAATTTCATATTAAGCACTTAACAAATTTCCATTTTTCCGTAACAAATATAATACAATATACAGACACTCTTCCGTAACAAATACAATACGACATACAGACATCTTCCGTAACTAAAACGATACAATATACAGACACTATTCCGTAACAAATACAATACGATATACAGACACTCTTCCAAAACAATGACAATACAGTATACAGACACTCTTCTATAACAAATACAATACAACATACAGACACTCTTCCATAAATAAATACAAAATGATATACGGACACTCTTCCAAAACAAATACAATACAATATACAGATTCTTTTCTCTTAACAAATACAATACAATATACAGATTCTTTTCTCTTAACAAATACAATACAATATACAGATTCTTTTCTCTTAACAAATACAATACAATATACAGACAGACACTCTTCCAAAACAGACACTCTTCCAAAACAAATACAATACAACATACAAATACTATTCCAAAACAAATACAAAACGATATACAGACACTCTTCCAAAACAAATACAATAACAACATACATACACTCTTCCAAACTGCCACAACAATACAAAACAATATACAGACAATCTTCCAAAACAAATACAATACAATATACAGACTCATGACATGCCACAACTCATTTTCTTCTGAATTTCTCTATGTACATTTACAAAAATATGATATATATATATATATATTGCAATTATTAAAGCTTCATTACAATTATTTAATTGCATTTTAATTCGAATTAAAGTATCACTATGAAAGACGTTTAGAAAGAATATTCATGGACTTCCACTTGAATTATATACTTTCGGTCTAGTTTTCTTCGTTAGAAGTTGTATTTCGGTCCTATCTTTTCTTAAGACAAACTCCTGTTTTACCATGGTAGCGAGATCATTTCCTTGATTTCGCAACGGAATTCTTGCAAAACCGATGAATAATACGAAGTTTGACACCAAAACTGGAATGAGAACTGCCAGTACAAATACACCCGTTACTGCACATACACAACCTATCATTTTCCCAAGCAGGCTTTTTGGTACAGCATCACCATATCCAACTGTTGTCATGGTAATAACTGACCACCAGATGGCGTCCGGTATCGATTTGAATGCATCACGATCACTGTAAAATACAACAGCTGAAAAAATTAGTGCTGCAACAAACATTAGAAAAACCATCAGCACCATGTTTTTAAAGCTTGCTCTTACAGAATATATAAAGACCCGAAATCCTATAAAATTCCTGACCAATCGAAATAACCTGAAAACACGTGCTATTTGTATGCATTCAATAAAATCTAACGATGAATAAACTACGTACTTTTCTTTTGGAAATACATATTCGATCAAATTTATAATGCATTCTGAGGTTAAAGCTATTATGTCCACAATATTAAGAAAAGAAAAGAAAAATATTTTCTTATCAGGACAAAATATATATCTTATAACTAATTCTACAAGGAAAAATCCAACCGTGAAATAATCCATGATAGTCAGATAATTGAAACGAGTGTGAGTGTCTATGGTATCATCTGTATAGCTTTCAGTCTCATTGCTGCTATCAAACATTGAACTACTTGTATTATATGTGGTATTTTCATTTATTTTTCTAACTTTTGAAGTAACACTTTCGGACTCTTCATTCAGTTCTTTTTCACAATCCTGATGGCTTTTTGGCATTTGTGCACCATCACCAAGGAATTCTCTAATCTCCTCACAATCAAGTTTTCGTTGAAAATCCGGATGTGTGCTAGCAACTAGCACAAATATAGACATTAGGATGACTATGGCTGAAGATGCAACATAAATCTGTAAAAGAAGAGAAACGAGAATCATAGAAAATATTCAGAATAATAAGCAAAAGGATGTTAGCTAATTTCCAGCTGTGTCCATTTTTTATCACTGTGTATGTACACATCGTTTTTAAAAATTCAAGTCGCACAAATTTATAGATTGTTTGTTGAGCCTCAATCTCCAAGCCGTTCGGTATTGTTTTATTAATATGGAAAGGTATGAACATTAATAATCATAGTTTTTTTTATATGAATACCTAATAATAATAAGGAGATGTGGTATGATTGCCAATGAAACAACTATCCACCAAAGTCCGAATGAATTGGATGTAAGCAATTATAAGCAACCGTTGCCTTCAGCAATGAGAAAAACTCGTACCGTATAGTCGGCTATAAAAGGTCTAGACATGAAAAATATGAAACAACTAACGGCCTTATTTATAACAAAACAATTTACGAAAAACAAATATAACTGATATGAACCAACGACAACCACTGAACTACAGGCTCCTTACTTAGGACAGGCACATATATAGAATCTGGCGTGGTTAAACATGTTTGGTGGCACCCCCTTCCTTTTTTATCTGGCAGGGACAGTGGTGTAAAGGCACAACACAAGAACAAACTATGCAAAGCAATAAACTAACAAATATGAGAAACAGCAAAAACTACAACCACGTAATTACAGGCTCCTGACGTTGGACAGTCACATATAGAATGTAGTGGAGTTAAGCATGTTTGAAGGCGCAGATTCTCCCCTAACCTGGGACAGTGGTGTATTATTGCAACATAAGAACAAATCATAAAAATCGGGACTTTAAATATTCACACAATATTTTGTTATTACATGAATACTCTGTACACAAGTTTAGTTTTTTTTTATATGAATACCCTGTCGGGACCTTTAATGTTCACACAATTTTACTTTTTATTTACATGAATACCCTGTCGGGACCTTTAATATTTACACAATTTAATTTTTTATATATGAATACCCTTTCTGGACCTTTAACGTTCACACAATTTTAGTTTTTTTTATATGAATACCCTGTCGGGACCTTTAACGTTCACACAATTTTAGTTTTTTTTACATGCGCACATAGTTTTAGTTTTTTATTTATATGAATACCCTGTCGGGCATTTCACGTTCACACAATTTTAGTTTTTTATATAAATATCCTGTCGAAACTGTTGACGTTCGCATAATTTTAGTTCTTTACATGAATACCCTGTCAGAACTTTAACATTCACACAATTTAAGTTTCTCTTCGAAAATAATATCCGTTCACAAACCTCTTTCATCGTCGTAAATTTCTACAAGTATCTTGAGTATACAATAAGAGGTTTTAAATCAAGGATGTCTAACTTGCATCAAAAGAGCAGACAGAAATCATCTTCAAAATTACAACATATCGGTTTATTCCGATAAATAATTTATCGATTGAATGATTGTTGTTAGCTTTACATTAAGTTGCAATTATTTCATGCATATTCAGGATGATCTCGAGAAATGAAATAATTTCTCAAAATCAAATCAAAGTTTTTATTTCTTCTTCCTTTTTATTATGCTTTCTGCTTTATGGATTTCCGGACGTAAAATTATGTGCATGGGGGACTAATTTTCTGTTATAGTATTTCAGTTAAACAAGCTGTATAATCATCCCCAGCGACCTCTTTTTAATGGACCAATTACTACAATATGATAACCAATCGAAGGTTTATTCTGACATTAATATCTTCATAGTTTGTCTTATCATGAACATAGTAATGCATCTAAACCATCAATGTATCTTATTAAGTGATAAGCCAGGCAATAATAAATATCCAATATTCAATCAATGATATCGATGGTATCAAACCTAGTTCTGCTTGGTTAAGAAATTTGTGATGCATTATTGAGTGATGATAAATGAGTGGTTTCCTCTTTTAGTAAATGTTGTTGTCTGGAAAACAAAAAAAGTTGATAATGTTGTCTTTAGATCGATAACAATATAAATACACAATATTAGATCTTTAATGTTTTTAAATGAAATGACCGTAAAATAGAATACCATACACGATGCATTGCACAATAGATTAAGTAAGAGAAAAAGGAGAAATTACTATTTTCGCTTACAATCGGTGCAATTTGGGGAAACAATTAACTGTTTTGCCGATGATTTTGTTGTGTAAAGAAAACATGAAACAGTTAATCCCCCCCCCCCCCCCCCCAATTACACCCGATTGTAAGCTTGATTTTGCTCTTTTAGCTGCTCTTACATGACCGAGTACCAGAATGTCCTATCAAAGAGTAAGTAACCTGTCGAACAATTATATTCTCAAAAGTCGGTAATGTGAACAAAGTCTAGTAGATGGCATCTAGTCAAACATACGCACGAAATGCTGATACAAAATGATTACTAAGAGTTCATGCATTGTTAATTGTTTCAAATGGACTTTTTTGTTTGGATATACAGCTTAGTATGTTATAAATCAAATATGAGAATTTAAGTCAAATTGGTAATCATGGATGAAAACCTAATGCCCCTTAAAATTACGAGTATTTAATTTTGTTTGTTCTTACGCAATAAGTACATGAAGTAACGCGATGCATTTGCAGTGTATACTGTAATTTTCAGTTCTAGTTTCAGTGTTCAGCATTAAACCAATATGTTGTTTGTCAAAGCCCATGCTTTCCGTAAATTTTTAAACGGGATAATACAACAAATAATCGAATCAAATTGTTTATAATATACAACTATAAACTAATCTTTTATGTACCTGTTTAGATGATTGGTGCTTTAGCAAACGTCCACAGAGGAACGCGTTGTTATATCTCGTTCCTTTGTTATAGAGGATCACTACAGAAGTTAACAATTTTTAAGTAAATGATTGCTCATTGTTTCTGTAATGTCATATTCCTTTTGTATCCTCTGGGATTCAGAATCCTACTTGTAAAACATTAAATGCCTCGATTTCTACAGGTATAGAATTCTGATTTACGCTGGACATCTTAAAGAACAAGTAAGAATTACAGTATCGACTAGTACTGTATAAACTAGAAATCTGATTTACACCAGGAAAGTCCTTATCTTATTCTGACTTCTAATTTGTAATGTACATTTGTTGTATTGAAAATACATTCTGTGTCGTACCTCACATGCGATGTCACGTCGGTAAACGAGAATACATGAAAATGAGAGATTCAAATTATATTTACATAGACGTTAAAAAAAAGATTGTTGAATTTACATAGACGATTGTAACTGCCTTCTGTCGCAATTATGTTTCATGGTGATGTTGATTGCGTGTTCTTGCGTTAAATAATACCCTGGCTACAGTGCCATTACGCAAGAGTATGCAGCTATAAAAGGTCAACAAAATACATTCAACGTTTAATCGCTGCCCAATCAGTGATCTTTGTCTGTAGTTAATTATATATATATAAGTCTAAATTGATACAACGTTCAAACCTATGATTGTGTTAATTATATATATATATACAGCAGATGTCATCATAATTAACAAAAGCACATGGTGAAAAGATGAGGTTGTAATTTAGGGAAACGAGCAGATAAAATTCGATTAGGAACAGGGAGCAGATGTAAAACAATTTTCATCTTTATGAACAGAGATTTTGTTCTGGTTTATGTTAAATCCAAACTATATATAAATCCCGAAAAACTGCTGTCTGAAAGGATTGTTCCGAATATATATGGTTTAGGCATTTTACTTTGAGAAGGTTTTTAATGTTTTTAGTCGACTCATCAAAAGAATAAACACATTTTATTCGTTTTACTTTACTTTCTGACCTTTCCATTTTGTATTGACCTTACAATTAAACACAAAATTATATATGAAGTGTAAACACGTCACGCAAATGATACAAAAAGATGCATGTAAAAAAAAATATGCCACTTCTAACACCTTAAACATCACCTTAACAATTATACCACTTCTATAACAGTAAGCAGTCTATTGACAACTATATATGCCACTTCTGTAACCGTAAACAGCGACTTAACAATTATGTCACTTGTATCTCCGTAAACAGCGCATTGGCAACTATGACACTTCTGTAACCGTAAACAGCGGCTTAACAATTATACCACTTGTATCTCCGTAAACAGAGCATTGGCAACTATGCCACTTCTGTTACCATAAACAGCGCCTTAACATAAATGGCTTGCCGCTATTTTCTATAAAAGAATAAGGAGATATGGTAGGATTGTCAATGAGACAACACGCAGCAGAGTCCAAAACGTGGAACTATAAGTCATAGTACAGCCATCAAAAATGAGCAACGTTATAGTCAGCTATAAAATGTCCGACATGACAAAATGTTAACAATTCACCTGAGAAAACCAACGGCCTAATGTTTAACAAAACAATTAACAAAAACAAATATGACAGACAGCAACCAAAGGCAACCACTAATTTACAGGTTCCTGACTTAAGACAGGCATATAAATACTGTGGCACGGTTTAACATGTTTGTTAGCGCTCAACCCTCCCCTTTCCCGATAACCTGTGACAGTGGTGAAACGGTACAACATAAAAACGACTTTACTCAACAAATTAGCACGAGGCACAACAACAACGAAAATAAATACAAAAAAAAAGCACCGATTTAGGAGTATTCGTTAACTTATTACTATTATTTGTAGAACAAAATGTAATAATTAAACATATTAAATAGAATATTTTTATGGCCAAGAACCTGCAGTCTGCCTATTTATCACGTCTATGTTAATAACGATAGAAGTGCTTTTTATGCTATGGGATTTACGTGGTTTTTTTACGACTCGCTAGAACCATCGAAAGGAATATAATTATGACACTGATTGATTCGTTAATAGTCCGGGGCTCCTGAGTTCACCCCCTGTATTTTGTGGTGTTTGTGATGCTAAATCTTTAGGTTTTTGTGTAACGATTTGTCTGTTAGTATTTTTCTTAGTCCATTCTCTCTCTCTTATAAAAGCGTCCTTTTAATATAGCACTTAAGAAATTTTTACTGATGCCATTCTGTTATTATTAATATTATTTTATACAATTTGTTTTGTCAAGCATTTTAAAATTAATCACAACGTGACCATGACTGTCTAAATTCTTGTCTTGTTCTTATATTTTCCAGTGAAATTGTCGGACATTCAAAGACAAATTTATTAAATTTTTGTAGATATGGTGTTCTTCAAAGGAACTTTTAATATACGATGGAACATGGATCTTTGAAATACCTCGTTTTACCACCGGAACGGCAATAAACTGGCCTAATACATGTCTAAGATGAGGTTCCAAAATGCTAGAACAACCTGTTCAATGTGAAATATTTCAGTTTGAGGCACGTGTTTCCTTGAACAATCCGAATATTCATTCCTTATAATTAAGTATTGTAAATTTGTATATTTGTGCTGAACATTTATTATAATTGACTACATCCTCATTCTTTGGTCTCTGGTGGATAGCTATCTTATTTCAATCATACCACATCTCCGTATCTTTCATAAGATATCAAAGTTTTCATCCATTGCATGCTTGCGAATTCACATCTATCTTTGGGGGTAAAGTTTATTTATCACTTCTGATTCAATCAGCCATTTAAGGCTAGAACACTACTACGATTTCCTCTCTGTAATTTTTGTCTAGACAACACAGACTTCTGCAGATTACATTGTCAGTAAATAACAGATTTTCCTGCATGGTTACAATAGAAACAGACATAGCTGATAGAAAACTTATTTCTCGGAACAATAATAAACCAGATTATTTATACTTTCAATTTAGTTTTTTATAAGAAAATAGTTGCAGTTAATACATTTTCATTGCACTCCTGCAAAAAGAGGTTAACTGATTAAAGAACGTCTAAATCACAGACTATTTCACTCCTAAAGTAGAAAAATATGCTTCGGCAAGTATTTTTGGACAGACAAAAAAATCAGCTCTTAACTTATTATTTGTCGAAGTTCAGACATTTTCAACTTCAACATTAACTCGAACTTACAACTTTCCAAGTGTTGAAATTCTTACTTTAAGCTCGGTAGTTTAGTATTCAGTTAAACCATAGTATCAACACATATCTATTTAGTAGAAAAACAAAGGATTTTGGGTATCCATTTATGACACAAATCATTACATGCACAGCAAAAAAACACACAAAAAGCAAAGAAATAGCTCTTTTATTGCTGCTCTTCATCTCAAAATCACAGAGAGGCCTTCAACATGGGAAAAAAACAAAAAACTCTCACCTCACTGCAAGTTTAAGACGGCCCCTAGCACCGGTTTGAGCGGAATTCCTTGCAAAATGATTCGGGTAGGCTGTAAGAGGTAACACCACCAAATCGGGCCCGGTAAAAAAAAACTTTACATATTTAAAACAAAACAAGAATGTGTCCATAGTACACGGATGCCCCACTCGCACTATCATTTTCTATGTTCAGTGGACCGTGAACTTGGGACCAAAACTCTAATTTGGCATTAAAATTAGAAAAATCATATCATAGGGAACATGTGTACTAAGTTTCAAGTTGATTGGACTTCAACTTCATCAAAAACTACCTTGACCAAAAACTTTAACCTGAAAGAACAAAAACTTTAACCTGAAGCGGGACAGACGGACGGACGGACGAACGAACGAACGGACGCACAGACCGAAAAACATAATGGCCATAAATGGGGCATAAAAAGTTCCTTAGCATAGGTGTACATATCAAACTATGTAGAATATATTTTGGTCCGAGTTGTGCCGTTTTGTCCTGTGAGAATCATTTTTAAAAAACTAAAACTAACAAAATTTAATAGAAAACTTAATTTTTTTAAATTGTAGTCGATATTTCTCTAGACAGGTTAATTTAGGCGACAGTAGTTTACTGTACTGGTGTTCAAATCGCATAACTCGATTTAGAAGACAGACCAATGTATTAATGAAAATCTGAGGGAACCGCATGAACTCAAAAAGGAGCGAGGCATAAGACGGACAGATCCTTTTAAGCGACATTTAGTGTTAGAAAAAATAAGCTGATATAGTATCGGACATCATATCATTGATCCATTCATGTATTAACTCCCCATATAGGATTACCTTAACACTAAATGTATGCCTAGAACACAAACTAAATAAAGACTTGCTATAAATATCAGATGTATCGATTGTAGTAGAATTATTCTAGATTACACACTGGATTAACATTTCAATGCACAACTTGAATGTTGTGGGTTTACTTAATCTAAATTTTATCGAAATATGTTCATTAATTGAATCACATAAGCCATTCAAATCCTTCACATTATTTGAAACTAATATCAGGAAACGATGACGTTCATGATATGATTTTTAATCCATTGAGTAACGGATTACATTTACTAAACGATTTAGTGCTCGATAGCAGTCAACAAAAACGACATACGCTCAAAATAAATGTATAAAACATATTATGTTTTACAATTATGTGATTTCCCGTGATAAGAAATATAGTCTAGCTATTTTTAAAATTACTCAACAGATTGCAGATCAATTTGTTAATAGAATAAACTTAACCAAGTCAATCGGAACCATGTTTGAAATCTTTTCAATTTAGACTAAGTTGTATAGAAAAAAGAGGCCCGACCCAAAAAGGTTTGATTACCTAATTTGAAAGAGTCTCTTGACTTTTCCCATCAAGAAGTAAAATCCATGACGCAGAGGGGCGTCCGTTTGGATGTGTGGGATGTATAAATACTCAACCACGTCCGGTTAGAAGCGAGACGTTAAATCCGATGCCGCGTGAATGGAAAAGGCTACACTCACTGTACGTTATCAAAAACCTACCAACAGCTCGTTGAGAGTCCGTAGGTGACTTGTTACAGAGCACAATTTCCACCACTATCCAACTTAACCTCAATTTCCAGTTGCTGTCTAAATAATAGAAACTAGTTTACAGGTCAGATACATATAGCCCGTTATCGTCTCCGTGCAGGGTTCACATTAATATAGAAATACACGTAGGTGATGGACAATAACCTACATATCTTACCAGTAGACAAGATCCTATGGTCGAAACAACCCTAACGACAATATATAACCTGCCTTTTGGATTTATCGTTAACTAGTTTTCTTCCTAAATAAACACGAATCATTTGCAACTGGGCGTTAATCAAACAATAATCAATCAATGTTTAAATAAATAGTGTCCTTGCACGTTAAATAGCATTTGTTTGAAAATATGTAAAATAGTTCAGTTTTACAGTTCCTATTTTCTGGCGTATACAATTTCGGAACAGTACCAGTACGGCGTGAATAATGTTGAGCAAAAAGTGCGATCTTAAATTGAAAACAAGTTTGTTGAATGAAAATTATCTCTGCAAAACTGTAGAAAGATTGTAGTATAGTAGTACTTATAAGGTATTTTAGCTTTTTTCAGGAAATTACTTAACTAACAACGACAACACTGTTATAGATAACCGAAGCACCCCTCAGAAACAAAAAAATAATTAAATGTGTAATTGTATTATATCTAAAAAAAACTCAAACATTATCCCTACGAGAATAAGCACACATTATACTGTACCTTGGCTAAAGCAGATGACATTGGGTCATCTAGCACTCGCCAAACTTTTCTTCTTGTATGTTCCCATTTGCTATTCGATGGACGAAGAACATTTCCAGACCTGCCGGCTTTTGTTTCTTCGAGTTCAAAAGTTTTTAGTAAAGCTTGATCCTCAAAAAATGACACATACTTCATATAACAACATCGCGACATTTTACGGTCATCAATTTGCCAAAATTTCAATTCCCTGCAGAAAACAGACGGACAGACCGACGATGGCATATGTAATTCCCCATTTGTATAAAACCAAACGATTGCTGTAAAACTTTCTGCATGTCTTTCAAGATAATATTCCTCACATGACTCTTTTTCGTCCATTAAAAATCGTTGGTTAGAAACACAATTTTCAAAACAATGTGACGGCAGACGACAGAAGGTTTTTTTGTGCAGACGAAATATCGTTCCACTAACATTGAGTATAACGTAATCCATGTTATCACAGCAGACGATGAATTTAATGTAAAACAAGAGAAAATCCAGTTTGAAAATAAAAATCGATGCTAGAAAACATTAACCGTGTAGGCGAACTATTAATTCTGATGCTGTTATAAATTTCTATGAAATATTAAGATTACTCTTGTTATATCTGTTGACATTCTTCGTTAGTACACATGTTTTATATGAACACTTTGGATGATCAAAATATCACAATAAATCAATTTTCAAATTTGCTGTGCAGTATTGATGCATTCTTCCTGTAACAGATATCACAATAAGTAAATCACGATCCCATTAGTACGTCTGCAAATGGTTATTCTGATAAAATATACCAACTCTATTACAGTTTATGTTAACATATTGTCTATCATGAAGTTCATCACAGCAGCACCGGAAGAACATTATTGACATCCGCATTCTCCCGAAACAAAGGTACATCCCAATGCATATACTAATTCCATAAAGATTGATATTTTTATCAATGATCGCTGAGAAGATTGACAATGATATTATATTGTGAGATCGATAGGGCAGTTCCAATCCATCGAAGATTAGACCACTAAGTATTATCAACGGTAAAAGTTAGTAACACATGGCTGTGCAAATAAAATGAATTATTGTCAGTTACAGTGATACTAGGATATATTTCTAATGCAACCTTAAAACAAACAGAAGATTGAACTCATGAATAAAGATAGATTCTGAGAGACAACATACATTCATATAAAGCTTTAATTTAACAACTCAGGCTGTCAACGAACTGTATTTAACTGAACTATTTTTACGGCAAAAATATATTCATTCCACTATTAATTGTTATATTCCACACTCAAATAACAACGGAGGAATTATATATATATATATATATAATGCTTAACAGTTTGAAAAATCCAAGCACAAACTCGTATACTGTATTAGTTGTCCCAGGCTATGGATCAGTGTTCATGTCTATTCAGATATTTGATATTGATTAGTTGATTGATTGTTGGTGTTTAACAACAATTTCAGCACTTTTTTGTCTATTATTGAAGGCTGTAAATAAAAACTATTGGTAACTGTACGGCCTTCAATAGTGATCAAACCCATCCCGTACAGTCAGCCATAAAAGACCCCGACTTGATTGATTGATTGATGTTTTCTTAAAGTCCGATAGCAAGTATTTCATGCATGTTCTGGACGATAAAAAATTAACAATACATACAATAGGTAGGTCCTGGAATTGAGGTCGACCGGGGACTGGAAAATAAGGGTAAAATGGATAATGACAGACATTTAGCATTGCAACAGCCCCCCCCCCCCCTACAGATCCCTCAGATAGTTGTTGCAATTGTTCTTAACGTGGTACTCTCTCTCTCTACACGAGGAATCGGATTAAACGTCTCCATTCTGACAGGATGTGGCTGTGAATTTATACATCCCGCACAACCAAACGGAAGCCCCACTTTAGCAAGGGTTTTACAGCCAGTCGAAAGAAAACCAAGCGCAACCACATTTCTATATGCTCTGACATGACAAAATCTGACACAATTCAAGCGGAAAAAAACCCCACTGAATGACATACAAATACCAACGACAACTACTGAAATACTGGATACCGCATATTTGCTTCTAGTTGTTTTGGGGGTTTAATTTTACAATAACGTCTCTAAATGTCCTAAATATATTCATATTAATAATAACTATATTATCTATATACTGATTATATGATATATACTGCCTTTTCAAAAAATAACTCCGATTATAAATATGTGTATGTGGGACGTAAATCAGAAGACAATCTAACAACAAAAAGCAATAGAGACCAACAAAATAGCGAAACACCAGATGTGGCCAACAACAGTGAACGTAACACCCCTTATACAAAAAGTAGAAAACAACCGATAATTTGTTTTTTTAAATCTTGATCTACACCGTTATTGCTTTCTATATTACATGAATGTAATGGCGTCTTCTTAAACATTATTTGTAACATGTGGTTGGTTATTTATGCTGATTGTAATTCGCTATTTAAGCTTTTAAACTGCTTGCTGTTCGAATTGAAATTGGCTAGTCAAATGTAGAAAGGATGCAATTTAAAGTGAACAAGTCGTTTTTACTAATCGTATACTTAAGCGATGAGGGGGTTATAAGGATCCTATACAAACCATTAGGCAAATTGATAATTTGAAGTAATCTATATTCTCTCCATCACGGATATTAATTTCAGACAAATTTCATAAAGTAGATGGGACTATAATACACAAGTTTAATTCCCCCGATGTCCTTGCTATTTGTGGTTTCCAACGCAATTAAAATTGGTTGCATGGTTGCGTAAATGCATTCTGAAATGATAACAACGAATTTAGGAATATTTAGATGATAAAGCACATTACAAAATACTATTTAAATGGAAATTTGGTAATTAAACGATAAAAAATTTAATTATAATTTTAAAATGCATTCTGAAATGATAACATCGACTTTAGGAATATTAAGATGATAAAGCACATTACAAAATACTATTTAAATGGAAATTTGGTAATTAAACGATAAAAAATTTAATTGTAATTTTAAAAAAGTACAACAATAAAATTGAATTGTTAAAAAAAGACATACTAATTAAAGATAAATAATAGATTAATTTAAACACCAATAAACATTTTACCGATGATTAGATGATATTTTATATTAAAAACCATATACTTACATACATTTCAATGCCTATGTTATACGCCCATTTCTTTGATTAATAGTCAGTTTATTGGTTGAGGAACTATGATGGATTTCATTGTAATTTACTTTGTGTGTTTCAGTAAAACAACAAACGTACTTTTTAGTCAAATGTAAATGAAAGGACGAGCAAAACTAGCAAGAAAAGCGCATCGATCCTATTAAATTTATATTATTGCAATTAACCACACAATATAATGTGTGTCGGGCCATTTGGACTATCTAGCCCATACAGACTAGCTTTATTTTCTGGGCGTTTTACTTCTTGGTCGAGCTAGATACAGTTTGTTTAAACATCAACGGAACATATTTTAATTATTAAGTATTCTTTCACTCGAAGTCTAGTGATCTAGTGATACTCCTCTTTATAAAATACATTGGAACAGAAAACATCGAAATACATGTAGATCTGTGGAGCAAACATTGAGTAATTATAACCATTGATGGATTAAACATCTTTTATAACTCAATAATGCATATATTTGTTATGATAATTGTACTGTTATATGTCAACCTGTTACAACTCAATAATGCATATATTTGTCATGATAATTGTACTGTTATATGTCAGCTTGTTACTAACCAGAGACGCTGTTTGCACACTCTTTGTATTTAATCCTATTCAATTTAATGGATGTGGGATGCAACATTGTCAAAATGTTCATCAATTATTGAAAATTATCCATAAGGTTAAATTTATTGACAGGTGCTGTGTACCATTCACGCCTTTAAAAGTTTATTTAAGATAAGATGCATGTATTTTCAAAGGTTAAATAAAATGAGACAATACAATATTCAAAATAATAATAAAAAATAGATAAAACGAAAGAAATCCAATATTTTCAAAATCATGTATTATACTTTAATATGATCATGGAAGTATTATATTGATACACGTGAAGTAACAATGATATACAGAAGAACAAAGACATACCATTACAAAACCAATTTACATAATTAGATTGCAATAACATCCACATACAATACTGTTAACACGTGTACGTCATGTAGAAACAGACAAAATGATAAAAGTGCAAAATTAAGGATGGTTTGCCTATAGGCTGAAGTAAAACAGTTATCATGACCTAAACACTTCATTTGCTAAAAATGGCGTAAACAAATCCCATACACAACAAATTAATCTGATTTGGCCTCACCAGAAAAAAAACCGGCATTGACTCACAATAAAATAAGACTAATAAAGGAACTGTATAGCTAATTGGGTAATATATGATAATATGATGATAGTATGCTATATTTTAAAGAGATGTTGATTGTTGTAATTGTTCGCAAGGAAATAATTTCAAAGGTGATTTAACTTTCAGAAACCAAATGATTTAGTATCCACATTATGCACTCAATTAAAATACTCTTTTGTTTTGCCTTTTATATTTGACGAATCGACCAGAGCTAAGAATCACTAATTCTTCAATAAATTCTAAAATTCTGAAAATATCAAGATCCAATATTGAGCTACATTGTTTTGTAAGTCAAAACTTGATTTATACTATTAAGTTGTGTGTCACTGAGCATTCCAAATTAATCACATTAAGAAATATCTGGGAGTTACGTAACAACCATACGAGGTTCTCCAAAGGGAGGTTATAGGATTGTATTACCTTTGTGTACTAGTTTTTTTTCCCCACCACTTCGTTCGTCCAAAATTAAGTATTGTCTTCCCTTAATGAATATTGACAACCACGGTATATAGGATTTCGTTACTCGTTACAATTTTTTAACCATATAAATTATATAAATCACATGTAAAACACACATCAGTAATTATTATATTATTTGCACATACAGTTCAATAACTGAGAACTGATTAGTTTACTCCTTAAAATCCTAAAATCATATGATATAAACAATGAAAAAATCAATAAACGAGACGTGTTGTGGTTTCGTGCAACGAGACTCTATAAAGAATTCACCCACCAAACAACTTTTATAGTATGAACAAATTACTGTACGTGGGACTACTCGACTTTGAAAAAATTAACGGATCTTGTTTAATATCGAAATAGGCGAGTGACATTTTCCAAATTGACTCTTAGTTAAGGACTTTAATGCACCCACTTAACACACGGCTATATTATATATCATTCGAAAGCTTATTATCTGAACAATCTGTTTTGGCCGGTTGTGAAAAAATTTATACGGTGCAATTTCCGTTAAATCAAGGTCAAAGGTCAGAAATAAAGATTTCAAAATATTGCACGATTTAAACAAAATGCCGTTTTCTGGTTCTTGTACGATACAATTTTTCGAAATATTATATAAACCTCATAGAACCAGATACAATAACTATATATCAAATAAAACTAAGAAGTTAGTTGCGCACTAACTATAGAATCATTGCAATGCTTAAAAAAGCCTTCAAAAATGAAAAAAAAAACTCTAAAATAAAATACATCTTTGGGGATCGATATTCATATGACTAAAACTAATTAGAACTGTATGCAACTTATGTATATTGTTCTTGAAACAGCCATATAGTGAAGGTTTTGCAATTGTCCAAAATACCACCATATGCGAAAATCGATCATTTTGATTTTCTCTGTTAAGATAGCACATCGATATTTGTCCATATTACGAAGAGATTATTTACAAAAT